TGCCCCTGTGGGATGGAGATGCCATGGCCACGTGCCCTGGGTGGCGGCAGGGCCGTGAGGGGGGCGAGGTGGTGGCCCCCCGTCCTTACGTGATCAGCTGGGCGTTGTCGTGCGGCTTCCTCCGCAGCAGCTCCGACTCCCGCCAGTGCAGGAAGTTGTCCAGGGTCACCTCTGGGTTGGGGCTGACTGTGATTTTGTCCTTGTGGTTCCACACCTCCAAGCCGATCAGGGCCACCCGCAGGCGGAGAGGCTGGTAGAGCTGGGGTGGGAGACAGCCCAGAGGGAGCGCTTTGATTTGGGCTGCAGCAGCAGGGGGAAGGTCCCACCTCCCCCAGGGAACTGCAGCCGAGCCCAGGAGCCCCCTCACTGCACAATGTCAGCTCTGTCCCCCTCAGTAAAAGACACAAGGGGAGACCACGTAAACAGGGTTTCCCCTGGCACCTCTGAGCTCCCTCTTGGCTGGCAAAGGCTGGGATACTTCTCCTATGGTGCCAAACAACAAGTGAAGCTGAAGCAAGGCAAGCAGGAGCCCCACCACGGGGGTCCCCTTGTTAGCACCCACTCCACCATGAGAGTGGCCGTGGGATGTGCTCCCAAGCTTTACAGGACAAAATTTCCCCCCCCCTTCCCTCAGGGACAGGGCTGAGCCTCTCGTCGTGTCCACCCTGCACACCCTGTTGACCAAGGGATGTGGTCACCCTGCAGCAGCCCACCCACGGGCCTGAGATCAGCTCCAGCTCCACCACCCCACCCATGCCAACTTCTGCTCTGCCCCCTGTGTCCACGCTGGCACTGTGGGACACGTGTGGGAGCTGGGAGTGCTCACCTTGTCCACGTGGTTTACGATTTCCTTCATGCGGTTCTGCACCGTGCGCAGGTCCCTGTGCTTCCTGAACTATGGGAAGGATACAGAGGGATTTCCAGGCTGGCTTTGAGCCCCTCAGTGCAGAGGATGGCAGCAAACCCACAGGCACCAGCTCACCCCCCACCCCATTTACCTCCTCATTGTCAGCGACCAGGACCAGCTCCACGTACCGGGGACCTTTGTGTGTCGGACCCGACTTCTGCAAGGGAAGAGGGAGGCTTGCAGCTTGCCCAGCCAGGCAGTTGACCCTGCCATGGGGTGTGTTGGATTTTGGGGTATCTTCCAAGGCTAGCAGGTCTCCTCACTCTGCTCTCTGATATCACTTCTCTGGCTGTTTCAAGCGTCTTCCAGCTTATATGCTGGAAAATGCAAGCCTGCTACTGGGATAAGCCACAAGATAGGCTCTGCAGGCATCACCGAGCTCACGGGGTAGGAGGATGCTCGTGACGATGGTACAGGATCCGAGGACCCGTTCCCATCAGGAGCTGCCCGTATTTGGGTACCCAGCCGACAGCGCATGGGAGGGGGCATCTCCAAAGGCATGGAACCCCCCCAGTGGACTTCCCAGGAGCCAGGCTCCTGCAAACTCAGCTGCAGGAAGGAGGAGCGATGCAATCCCTCACCCAGCGGTAGAGCTTCATGGCTGCAGGGATTTTCGGCTCGCGGTCGTACTCCAGGGTGTCCCCGGACTCGCGGCAGGGGCGGCGCTTCCCCCGCAGGTGAGCGGCTCGGTACAGAGCGTGCCGGCCCGACACGGCCCCCTCCAGCGGCTCCAGCAGGAACGTGGTCTCGTTCACCCGGAAAAACCCGCTGGAGAGAGAGAGGGCGGGCATCAGGTTGGGGAGGTATCCAGTAGGACACAGACAGACTCCACACGCACCCCTGAAAGTGCCTGTACGTGTGCTCCATCCCTGGAAGTGTCCAAGGCCAGGTTGGATGGGGATTGAAGCAACCTGGGCTAGTGGAAGGTGTCCCGGTCCATGGCAGGGGGGTGGAATGAAATGAGCTTTAAGGTCCCTTCCAACCCAGACCATTCTGGGATTCTGCGATTCCATGAAAATACAGCTGCCAAACTGGCTGCTGGGCTGGGGGGGGGCAAACTGCGGCACAGCACCCACAGCTGGTAGCACGGGGAGTATCCAGCACTTGGGGCAGCAGGAATGTCCCGGGGTTCAGGGACTGAACGATTGTGGATGGATCAGGGACAAGCTGCGCCTTGCTGCCCAGGGAGGGCACTCCTGCCCGGAGCTCTGCGGTGCTCAGGTCTCCAGTCCCACCCCGCTGCCGTGAGTCAGCCCCCCAAAGAGCCGTGTGCCCTTCCTGCCGGGCTCCAAGCCGGGAGCAGCACCTCCAGCAGGAAAAGGGATGTCATCTTCTCTTCCGCCAGGGAAAGCTGAGGTCTCCCTCCATCGCCCGGCTCTGGCTGTGCTCAGCCACACCAGCTCACCGCGGCCATGTGCCAGGGCCAGGCTGGGAGCCGGGCAGTGCCCGGGGCCGGGGGTCCTACCTGAGCCCGCGGCAGGTGCTGACACTCGCTGCCGAGCCGGCGTGGCCCCGCACGTGGCCCTGGTAGAAGCAGTGATCCTGGCACCGGGAGAGAGCAGAGGTGGGGGGGTCTGCACCAGCCGCCGGCGTGACGGGACCCCCAGGGGCGGAGGGGCCGCTTCCCCCGCAGCCAGCCCGTACCTGAGTGTCGGGCCGCTCGGTGACCTCCGTGCCGTCGGCAGAGTAGTGTGTCTCGGTGTAGTGCTGCCCCAGCAGCGCCCTGCGGGAGGGAAGGGGCGTCAGCAGCGACCCCGCCGCGGGGCAGAGGACGGAAAGCTTTGGGATGAGCTTGGTCAGGGTGGGTGTGGTGGGACCGTGCCCTCCCCGCGCGGGTTTGGCTACGAGGGAGAAAAACGCTCTGGGCTGAGGCTCAGCTCACTGGTGCAGTGACAGCAGACCTGGGAGATGGATGCTCACGGCAAGGGTGGGGTACAAGCCCCCCCCAGCCTCCCTGCCGTGCCCACCTGCACTCACCTGTTCTTCTCCAGCCACAGGAGGTATTCCCTGCCTTCGGCACGGACGCTGTAGAGGACACGGTCCGGGTACGTGCTCTGCACGGGAGACAGGAGCCACCAGAAAACCTCGGTCAGCAGGAGAAAGGGCTACACAGGAGAGACCCCTCGGTCCCCGCCCTGCCCAGAAACGGAACGGGGTCTGATGTGCCCCTCTGAGGGCGGCTACGGGGCGGGGGGAGCCTGGCTGCTGCCCCTGGAGGCATCCAGCAAAGACACAGGAAATCAGAAGAGAAGGAAGAAAGCATGTGGGCAATAACGCAAATCCCCGGCACATCCTGAGATAAAGAACAGGTCACCCGCAAAGAGACGGAGTCAGCAAAGCCTGGTTTCCCGTGTCTGACACATGGCTGCAGATGGCCGTGCCAGGGGCTGAGGTTTCCTACTCATCAGTCACAGAGCTCCTTTTTTGGGGGCTGAGTTCAGCACTTACTCACCAGCTGAACCACAAAGATCCCTCTGGATCTTATCAGCAGTGACTTCCTCCTCCCTGACTAATCTGACATGCCACCGTTAGAGAACAACCTTCCCCTGGTCCTCCTCAGCCTTTGGGAGCAGGTTTTGTATCACCATGACCCAGATCCCCTGGTGCCAGTGGAAGGGACCTCAAGGCATCTCAAGCCCAACCTCCTGGCACTGTGGCTGGGACATGGTGGCTGTGGCTCAGCCAGCTGGGCCCTGAACCCTCAGGATGGAGATGTTCCTCCAGAAAAAATGTTTCCCTCTGGGATATCTTGTGATCTCCACTTGCAGGGGCTGGGACACAGACCACCAGAGGTCCTGTCCCACTGGGGCTGCTGGGAGAGACTGACAGTCCCTTTCACAATACCCCAGGTCAAGCTTGGCACCAGGGACCTCCTCAGCCACTTTGAGACCTCTCCTGAGGGCACATCCACCTCTCCTGAGGGCACATCTACTTCTCCTGAGGGCACATCTACTCCTGAGGGCACATCCACCTCTCCTGAGGGCACATCCACCTCTCCCGAGGGCACATCCTCAGCTCTTGCAGGATCCAGATGTGGAGAGCTGAGCCAAAGGCAAAGCAAGCCTTTCCCACGGGGCCAGCATTCCTCAGGGATGAGGTGTGCTGCCTCTCCCCGGGAAGGATGACAGCACCCACTGTCATCCCATGGCTCAGCACTCCCAGGGGGATGATCTGCACCCTGCGAGGAGCCGGGGCTGACTCAGCTCCAGCGGGGCCAGGTGAGAGTGTTTGCCTGTCACTCAGCTGCCCTGGATTCTACCTGGTTTGCACTCCCAACCCTGCTGACGTGCCAGCACGCTCCCGGCTCCCTGGAAAATTCTTCTCTCATGAACAGCGTCTCCCTCCAGACGTGGCCGTCCCGTCCCGTGTCCGCCAACAAAGAGATCCTTTGTTATTGTTGGCAAAGCCAGGGCCAGAAGAGGTCTTAAGGAATGGCAGGAAAGCACTTGGAAGGGGGTGGTGGGTCAGGGCCCGGCTCTTGGAGACAACCGCAGGGCAAGTTTAAAATAAAAAGTCTGGATAAAGCTTCTCTGAATCACCCCCCTTCTCATTAGCATGGGCTGTGCAAGGCTTCCAGATGGGAAGGCTTTGGGAGCTGCCCTGTGAGCCCCATGGTTGTGCTGAGCCAGCACAGCAGAGCCACGGCCACAGAGCACAGAGAGGGGGGATTTCTTCCAGCTGGGCTCAGGAAGAGACCCAGAGACCTTGCAGAGGATGGGGATGGGATGTCCCGTCCCATCCCAGCACAGGGTGTTTCTTCCCTGGATGGGAAGGGGCAACAGGCCTTGCAGTAGGGACAGGGATCACTTTTTTAGGTCCCTTTCCATGAAGAATCCAGGTTTGCCACATGTGCTCCTGCTGAAAAGCCTGTGACTGGTGGAAAAGCTGCTGTCCAGGAGATCCTGCCCTGCAGGACCCAGGACTCCACCCTGTCTGCAGGGGTGAACATTTGGATCTAGTCAAAGCCAGAGGGGAGCCACTGTGCTTCACCCTCACCTGGGCAGGTGCTCTGAGGGACCAATCCCACGTGTCCCAGCCCCTCCAAACCAGGAGTCAGCTCCTGGCCCGTGTCTGTCCCAGCCAGAGACAGCTACAGGGCATGAGGAACACCCACCTCCATGTCAAAGAGGGGTTTGGTGGTGGTCAAGCCACGCTGGGAACCTCTTCTCCGTCCAGGTTACCAGGAGAGCAAACCCAACCTCGCCCCAAGAGGGGGAAAAGGGCTCGGAAGGCAGGAGACCTCGTCCCCTCAACACGGCAGGTTTGGGACCTCCAAGGACCACCCAACCCAAGCCCAAATGCAGGTGCCACCCAGCAGACAGCCCCCGTGGCAGTCCCAAAGCACACAGCTCAAGGCAGATGTCTTCCCCAGAGGGATCCCGGGATGGGTGAGCTGCCCTTTCCGGGGGGATCGTGCAGAGCCGCCCGGGGCGCCCGGCACAGATGGTGTCTCTAAATAGCCTGGGGAATGTTTATCTCGTGGACAAGTTTAGGTTTCTAGAGCAGGGAAAACAGATGCTTTCGGGGAGTGTTTTTGAAGCTAGTTTATCAGGAAGGGTTTGAATCACAGAGGAACGTGCTGTATGGCACTAGGGAATACACGTCCCCAGCTCGTCCATCCCCTCAGGCGCTAAAATCGGTGCTTTTCATGTCTAGAAAATGAATCAAAAAAAAAATTGGCCAAATTTCCCTTTAAGGCAACGAGAAAAGTTTGAGGGCAAGCCCATCATCCTACAGACGTCAACACCAAGCACTCCAAACTCCTGACTCAAGCCCCATTCCTTCCCCCAAATTGCCAGGTTTCCCAAGAAAAACAGCACTGGCTTTCTTTCATGTGGATTTCTGCAACTTTCTGATTCTTATTTCTCTGTCCCAAAGGACAAAAAAAACCACACCAACTTCAGCAAACACAGCAAGAAAAGTGCTTACAGCTCCACGAGGCTTCTCAAACCCTTCCTTAAGGAAAGACCAGATGTCACGAGATCACTGCAAGGCTGCAAGAGGTGGCACCGCTGGGTCACGTCTCCGAAGAAAGCGCAGGAGAAAGTTCCCTCCCTCCAAGAGTGCACCCCGCCCTCTGAAGGTCCTAATTGGACCCAAAACAGCCTGGAAAAGCTGATCTGATCAATGCTACTCACCCGAGGTGCAGAGAGGTCCCTCTTTCTCCGGGGCACCGGCACCTCTCGCGGCGTCACCGTCTCGTACTTCTCGACGTGGGCGAGCGTCTCTGCCAGCCCGGCAGTGGCACCTGGGAAAAGCCAAAGGGCTTTGAGCAGGATGCCCAGGAACAACCCAGTCATAGAATACCCTGAGCTGGAGGGGACCCCTAAGGATCATCCAGTCCAGCTCCTGGCCCTACCCAGGACGCCCCAACAATCCCACCCTGTCCCTCAGAGCGTTGTCCGAACCCTCCTGGAGCTCTGGCAGCCTTGGGGCTGTGCCCACTGCCCTGGGGAGCCTGTTCAGGGCCAACCACCCTCGGGGGGAAGAACCTTTTCCTAAT